ACTACGACTACGACTACGACTACTACGACTACGACTACGACTACTACTACTACTACTACTACTACTAGTCTAGTACTAGTACTACTACCACTACTACTACTACTACTACTACTATACTACTACTACTACTACTCCTACTCCTACGACTACGACTACGACTACTACTACTACTACTTGGCCGGCCGGCCGGCCGGCCGCTATTTGGCCAGCCGGCCGGCCGGCTGGTCGCGAAATAGCAGGCCGGGTTGCCCGCGCTGTCGAATGTCGGGGGGTGAGCAGTAATCAAGTGCCGTTATTCTATACCAGCACTCTCCAACAGGTCTCCTCTGGAGGCTTTTGTAGACTTAAAAGTCGCAAGTGGTGACCTGTTGGAGGGTGAGGGTATTTATCTCCTTTTGTTCCTTCAAATTTTTTGGGAACGGCACATGCTTTGGGTTGAGACTCGTTGGGACCAGTTGGGAGTTGAAGAGGATACATTCTTTCTCCCCCCATGTGCTGACGTGGAGCCTTTCCGGGACACATGTTTATGATTTCTTCCAGGTCTCTGATACCCTACCCATTCCATTGGTTTGGTTTCGCTTCCTAGCTATTCCTATCTGTTCATTAGTATCATCTCAGACCCCAATGTAGAATATGGATTTTTTATGACGCCCATATCGAGATCGGTTTTACACTCCCAAAAGGGAAGCTTATTATATCACCAAGATTCAAGAATTCTAAATGATGGTGATAGATGCCATCGTTTCTGATGACTTGTCATTCTTCGCAGCTCCATCCTCCGGGTACCGGGGTCGGAGTCATACCGTACGGGTCCCGGAAGTCTCCGCGTTTACATCGACCTCCCAGGTTCCCTCCTCGATCGTGGGTCATGTGACGTGGGGGGGGTCCAGTCTGGGCATTCGCTGGCTCCTACCTGCTCTGCTGGTGTGGTGCGGATGCGACCACCACCGGATGCCAGTCACCGGCAGACACTCGGCAGAGCAAATGACCGAAGCACTCCATTCATGAAGAAAGAACGCCCTGGACCCAAACATGGACAACTTGACTTTCATGTTAGATGAAAGCAATACGTATTAACATGTGCGACTGGTGGTTGTTAAAGCTGCTGGCCACACGCCTGGTGTGTCAACCGCCCAACGTCCGATGTCTTTTCGCCCGACGCCGAGCGTCGGTGAACGACAAGGAACGAGACGACGACGTTGGACGTTGGACGTTGCCAGTTGGCACCGTGTTTCCATGCGCTTAAGCCGGTCCAAGACGTAAAGAGGAGTGCCATTCTGGAAGAGAATGCCAGTTTCAGTGACAAGGTGGTTCCTGAGCATTGTCTTTGTGGACACGACTCATGGGTTGCTCAACAGTATGATTATGGCCGGAGTTGGTCCGGCCCGTTAGCTTTCCTTTTCCTCCAACTTACGCAAGAAACCCACTTCCAGCCATTCGTTCTCGCGCGGGCGTTCAGCGCAGAGACATGCTTATTTCGCAACCTGGTTTGCTTGGGGCAACATCCGCAAGTGAGGGGCCTCCAACTGGCTTGCCAGGTGCTTGCCGAGTCGCCGAGTGGCTACAAGACAAGTGGTTGTAAGTGGCCGCACGTGACCGCAAGATAGAACATCAACCTGCGCAGGTCGTCTGCCACGCTCTTTGCACTTTCTGCTTCTCTAGGACTTCCTGGTGCCCTTCGGCCACCTGATCCTCAACGGTCCTGCTGTGCTGCCCTTGGCAGCGCAGGAGTTCCGCTGCGTGCGCGTGCGACAGTGTGAAATCGCCGACTTTCAAGGCGCGGCTGGGAGCTTGGGTGGCGGGGTGGCGGGTGGTGAACGCCGGTGATGCGGGCTCTTTCACTGATGATGCAACAGCCCTGAGGAAAGGAACATATAGACATAGTTCAACAGCCCCTTCTTCGGGAATATCCGAAAGTGGATGCTGGGGCATTTGCAATGCCTCGACTTCGCAAAATGAACTGGACTGGGCTCACCCCAACAAAGGCAACATGCGGGGGGGGCAGACTGTCGGTAGCGAAGCGGTTCTGCGGTTGTTGCGAACGCAAGACCTGACCGGCCACAGGAGTGTTTATAAACAGAGCGCAAGACCTTGGTACTGTCTATCTATCACTGGGTTGTGAACGGTTGTCATCCAGGTTCAGAAATTATCTTTCCTTTCAAGTAAGCAAGTCCTACATATAGTCTTACTTTTCTGATTGATGTGTGCGGGTGCTATCGAACTCAGCCCGGGTGGTCCTTCAGATGTAGATGGTGCAAACATCAACCATATCAGAGCAGTCGTGTTGGGGGGGCTCCCGGACTCCCTATCTCGCGATGCCCTCCAAAAAAGCAAGGAAAACTGGCCAGACTCGTTGCGACTAGCAAAGGCTAAGACTCGAAAAAAGACCTTTTTGGAGGAGGAACTTTCAGAACTTGAACCATGTTCTTCACTATGCTGTCAGTGAAAGGAGAGGAACACCAGGGACCTGGCCATCTTCCAGGCCATGTCTTTCGCCTCATGACATCCGCTCTAGGCACCATGCCCCCCACCAGCAAGATTATGGTGGCCTCGGGCGAGTGTGGCACGCCGGCACCCATGGGTTTTCCGCACCTCGGTGAGACCTTTTGCGCACAAAGGGCTGGGCAAAAAGGACTGCGGTCAGCGGAAAAGCATGCCTCCGAGGTGGACATCCTGTGGTTGGATATGGGACAGGTGAGACATGCAGTGGTGAAAAGGGGCCTTGAACCTGGACGGTCTATGTTGCAGCTGTCCTGGTGCCAACGACAGTTGCACAGCAATCGCCCCAAGTTCAGCCAAAGTGTGGGATTGGACTTGATCCGCCATGGCTGTTTCCAATGGTCAGCCCAACCAACAGGTCTGAGATTGCTTGGTTTGACTCCACTGACGCGACTTTTGCCAGGAAGGCAGCTAGCTCAAATCCCATGGGCGTACTGGATGCGGATTTCCTTGTAGAAGCAATCCTTTTCCCTCAAAACGTGACCTAGTGCAGACCCATTGCACAAGGCACATGAGGAAATCCATGAATTGACTACCCAATGTTGTCATCCAATTGGCTCTTGGAAAGATATTGTGTGTCGGATAGTTTGACAGGTTAGTCACAGAGTAATTTTCTAAAATTTTCTAAACATCGCATCTGGTGGTTCCAAGATGAACTGTTCCTATGAAGGATGAATTTGCGTCACCTTGACATTCGGAGGGACCGCGATGCTTCCTGGGCTCCCTGGGCCCTCGGCTCCCTGGGCCATCCTGGCTGATGGCTCCCTGGGCCCTCGGAGACTCCGAAGGGAGACTCCGAAGGCGAACCGGCGCCCCGGGCGCCACGCTCGCATCGATTCGCACCGGGCCTTTTGAGGTTGAAAGGACAATCGCTTCCCTCACGGGATGGGCGTCACTTTGAGTGGAGCAGCGATGCTGGGATGGCACTGATTTAGGGTGTGTAATGGTGTGTATTAACAGGGAGACCTTCCATTTCGATCCCCTGAAAGTAGGAATATATATGAATACTTGAATACACCAGAATACGCCAAACCCAGTACCAACCCCCTTGGTCGGGTGTCTCCCTTTTCAAAAGCACGCGTGTCAGACAATTTGCGAGGGTAATGGGGCCCGCCGCAGGCCTAACCTAAGCTATCGATCATCGATCTATATTGTAATGGGGGATTGCCAGTGAAGATGCAGAAGCGTTTTGTATCTCTCCGCCTGATCTCAGGAACCCATCACGACGGATCCAGGAAAGTATCGGCTTTGCTGGTGCACGGAGGGCCAAGATTGCGTGCTACCCTCGCAGTACTTGAGCCACTTTGCAGAGTTTGGTGTGCCATCAAAGGTAGGTCTACCTTGCCACGGTTTGATGAACTAACGGGACCTACACTCCGACGGGCACAACACGAGGTGGACGGCATTTTCCTTCAGAAGCCGTTTGTTTTGTTTTTTTTTTTTTTGGGGGGGGGTTTGACTGTTTGAATAATGATGTTGAAGTAAGCCTCAGAAACCTCAGTGGAAACAGTCTGTTTAAGACGTGAGTTGAAGTGAATCAGTTAAGACTAGGACGGTATCTGATCGTCTTCGATCCCCTAACTTTTGTTCTTGATCAATGAAAACATCCTTGGCAAATGCTTTCGCAGTAGTCCGTCTTTAACAAATCCAAGAATTTCACCTCTGACATTTAAATACGAATGCCCCCAACTATCCCTATCAACCATTACCTCAGCTCTAGAAACCAACAAAATAGAACTGAGGTGCTATCTTATTATTCGATGCTAATGTATTCAAAGCGTGCGCTTGCTTGAAACACTCTAATTTCCTCAAGGTAAATGCCCCAAATACCGCACCACACAATCAAGTGCAGATACGGATACGTCAGGAAGATGTCAAGGCTGAGCCAGATGCACACCCAGAGGGCGGACCGGTTCTTTCCACTGAGGTTCTCGTATTTCGGTTCCGGGTGACACGTCCTTGTCGTTGCGGTGGGGTTTTCGCCGGGTCTTTCGGCCGGCACCATCAGAACGACAAAGACATGATCTTTCTTGGTTTGTAGTCCTCCGCCCTCCCCAAACACAAGCTCTTAAATTCTACATCACATCCTCCTGGTTTCCTGATAGCACCAAGAAGCCCCATGTGCAGCTTTCCCGATAAACAAGGCCTTTTCCTTGGGATGCCAGCCTGTAATTCTTGGTTAAGGCTCTAGGCTGACTGTCTCACCAACAGCAACAGAGACAAAGGTCAAAGATCTCAGATACAAAAAGCCACCACTCTGAGGTTATGCGGGCATCATGCAAATCAAATTCCCAACCTATTCGCCCTTGCGCTTCTTCTGTGGCTTGGCGCGGCCCTGCAACATCTCCGGTATCCGGGGGGAAGGCTTGTCCAACGAGGATCGAGTGATGCTGCTCACCAACTGTGGCGGCGGAATCTTGGAGGAGACTGCGAAGGATGGACCCTTCTTGGGAGGTTGTGGGGAGGCACTGCTGAGCATCTCCCGGCACCACCGAAATACAGGAAATTCCTTCTCGGATCACCTATATACAGACCATTTTAAACATGGTCCTGGACTCCCAAGATAAAATATGCGAGCACAAGCTGGCGAGAGAAGGTGCAGTTGGGTTTCTGCACCACGTGGTGCGCAAGAAGGCCACCACGCGCAGAGAACGCTCCACGCGCAGGAGACCACTTTCCTGGAAGGTGCCTTTTCAATCCGTGCCTACGACAGCGGCGGCACCTTTCTCCTACCGCCCTCCGTTCAGTCCGTCTCCTACCAGGCACCCCGGATCCAACAAATGCAAGGCGTTTGATGGATCTTGAGGGGGTTGCTCACCACTCGATCGCAGAGATGGTCGAGTTGCCATCCATTTATATGTCAGGGTCAGGAGAGTTTCTCATAATTATCCAAATTAAGTTCTTAAAGACCCTAGAAGATCATAGAAGATCCTAGAATCTAGAAGTCCGGACCACTGCAGCACTCAGATCCAGTCGCCCCCCCCGCCAGGTCTGCTGGTGCGCGGCCGAGCAGACCTGCGCCAACCCCCGAGACTTCACGGTCTCCTTGGGCAACGGGGCCCATCTCGATGCGATGGGTGGACATGGGTGGACAGAACCTATGCGACCCATGAAGAGTAATGAAGGGATATATGGGAGTTGAATGGAGTTGACCTAAAGGTCCGTGTAAAGGTCCGTGCGTAAAAGATATGGGATTGAATATGGATCCACCACCATTTATATCTAAACTGAAAAGCTCTGGTTTCGAACATCTGGCCTGAACAGTTACGAACTCGAAGCTCCAGTGCCGCCATCACCCCAAATTCCGCTCCCAAATTCCCCCCCAGTCCTCAGTCCTCAAAGTCCTCAAAGTCCTCAGGTCCCCATCCTAAAAGCCATCCTTCACTCCCTAGGGCTCCAACCATATCCTCAGAAGGTGGTTAGACCCCCCAAACCCACCCCAACCACCTTCTCAGGAGGTAGTTGGAGCCCTAGGGACTGGTCACCGTCTTTTCGAGGCATCGTGGACTTCGGGGGTCCTCTGCCAGACGTGGTCTACCGTTGCTTCGAGTGGGAGCCCTGCGAGATTCCAGATTTAGAGGGCACCACCCTCGGTGGCCTGGCGTGGTGGCGGGAAGCAACGTCAGCCCAAAAAGAGCGGTCCTAAGACGCAGGGCACGGTCGTGGCACGGTCGTGGCACGGTTTCACCCAACATTCTGAACGTGGGGTTTGGGTCTACGAACTTCTATTTGTGGCAGGGCCTCCATGGTGGGAGGTGAAAGGGACAGGTTTGGACCTTCCGAAGTGAGTGGAGCAAGTGGGCATGTGGGCGAATCAGTGGGCATGTTTGTGCGACAGTGCAACTGAGAGGATCAGCCCGTTTTTGGGGGTATTCTTCCGTCGGGTGGTTGCGATTCAACACTCCATGCACTTTCATGCCATTTCTTGGAACTTGCTGGAGCAGGTGCAGTCAGAGCATGAGATGACCTAGAGCAGCTTCCGACTTCCAACTAACTTCCGCCATCTGCAAGCCTCATGTACCCTCCCAGGTCCACCAGTTGTCCTCATCAAACATATTCAACGATGGAACGATGGATCCTCGGAATCCTTCTCCCCAGGTGATGGGGATCGACTACTGGTGGTGCCGGATGGAACCAATTGCTTGGACCTGGTGAATCGACGCGTCCATCAAGAGGGCTTTCCCTTCGCTCCTTGGGACCGGCAAAGCAGGCGGTTGGAGCAGTTCTGAGGGGTTTCTTTGGAAATTGCTGGTGCTTTGGGGTTCTTTGGACATTTCAGGTCCCCAATTTCAGGTTCTTTGGTTCTTTGGACATTGCTGGTGCTTTTG